TTTGGGGGATGATATCATAGAATCAAGGAATGGTTTGGGTTGGAAGGGACTCTTAAAGCTTAGTGAGATCAGAGATTTTTCTATGGCCTTGTTCATGTGACCAGTCAGAAGCTTTGGCGCTTTGATGGAGATTTCTCACCTCTGCTTTGTTCCATCACAAGAAATCCCTTTGAAGGGAGGGACTGTGCCCTGGGTCAGGAGATGGAGGCAGTGGCCTTGTGGAGAGGAGAGGACAAGGAGAGAAGTGTGCCTTGGCTTCAGGCAGTTCAGCTTGATAACCTGGCCCCATGTGGTGCTACCTGGCTGCATCCCTTTGGCTCTGGATGGGATGAGGTGGTAGTAAGTAAATACTCATTCCCCACGAAGGCTGAAAGTCAAAAGTGAACAGACAAAGCATGTGTAGAAGTATGTGATTCTGAGTATCCTGTTGCTCACCCAGTTTTCACCCTGGTGTTTTTCCTTTCCTCGCTCCCCATCTGTGGGGACACCAGGGCTCCCTGCAGCCTGGGATTCTCCAACAAGTTCTCATGGGAACTGTTCATGTTCTCAAAGGACAAGTAAACATCCCAGGGCACTTCAATTGCTCTGGAGCCAGGGACCCTCTCATTCCCACCACACCAGAACACACCAAGCACCATTTAGCTCCACGTGTCCCACGGAAGCATGAAATGTGCTCTCTTGTTCAAGTGCTCCCCACCACAGCCTGTCTCCATCTCCATCCAGACAGGCCATGCTGAATGCTAGAGACAGAACTGAGATCACACACACAGATAGTCAAGAGTCAGCGAGGTGATCCTCAGCCAAATTCCTCCTGAAATCCATGGAAACAATGTGCACAGCTAGAAATAGGACAGCAGTTGTGTCCAGACAAGCCTTACCTCACCCATGGTGGAAGACCAGATTTCTTTTTTAAAAAAGTCATCAGAGCTTGTATTTCTCTTCATCAACATAACATTCACTTTGGTTTAACTCCACTGAGATCCTGAATTTACTGTACAGACTTTAAGGCAAAACCAGACCGTGTGGGCATCCTTTGCACTTGGTGACAGAGACTGCTCAGGGAGTGCTGACACATGTGGGTTTCTGCATAAAACCTATGCAGTAAAAAATGAGGCAGTTTTTGAGATTTTAAGCATTTTGGTGTTATTATCTGGGAGCCCTTTTAATGGGTTTAGGGAGAAAAGGTTGATGGCTGTTTTGCTACTGTGAGGACTTGGCTTGCTTCAATCCTGGTGTCCCTGCCCATGGCAGGGGGGATGGAACCTGATGACCCTTAAGGTCTCTTCCAACCCAAACCATTATTATTCTGTGATAATCCCCAGAAAAACCCACTTGGCTACCACTGGTACACATCTGACTTTGCTTTGCTCACCTGTTGCACTGTGTGGAGAATGTAGTGCTGTTCTGACACTTAAGAGTTCATAAAAAAAACCAAAAATCAACAACAGAAAAGACACCCACTTCGTTCCTTTTTTTCTTTAAATACTTGTTTATTGAGAAGATATTACAAACTATCAGCCCTCATCTTCCCCAAAAGCTTGGACACCCATAGTGATGGAAGATTCGATGATGTCCAGGAAACCTACTGGCACTGACTTATTGCATGGAAACAATAATTCAACTGGCAAATCTCTCACACCAGTTCTTCTTCCTGGTAAAAGTCTCTACAGCCTGACTGTGCTCAGCTAATGAAAAGGAAATAAATGCCTTCCATCTGGTGAGCATTTTCTCTTACTGTCATTCTCTACTGTATCCCTACCCCTCCTCAAGCCAAAAAGAGGCTGCTTTGTTTGGCTAGTTTGGCTCAGCCTTATTGTTCCCAAAAACATGGTTTCCCAGCCCTGCAGAGAGATTTCTACCCAGCATATGGCCCAGATCCATTTTTCTAACAAGGGTGTTCCTTAAGTCTCCCCTGGAACATCCTAAACTTGTTGTTTTCCCCTGTATGTCAGCCTTTTCTGTCCCAAAAGAGAATCTCCACCAGATCAGAGGGATTTGAGGGGAAACTTCATAGGAACCAGTTTATCTACAGTTTACAGGTGAGGGGACTGAGGTAGGCTTGCTTCTTGGACTCTGTGTACTACAGCAACATGAGGAACCCCAATATGTGTCTCTGCTTGGCATTGCCAGGTGGCCACATAGAAGCGCTGCAGAGAAATCTGGGAGAATGGCTCAGGGAATTGTGGATTCCATCACAACTCCACCAGGGGCTTTCAAGACACAAAGATTCATCTGACCAGGGAACACTCAAACAAACCATCAGCAGTGAGTGATAACAACTGCTGAACTGTCCATGCTTTTGAGTAGCTGCACAGTCTTCTTTGCACTGGGAAGGGAAAACATCCCAATAGGAAAATCATTTTCAATTCTCTAGTCCATAAAGCCTGAAGACGTTTTCAACTATTCCTGCTACTTGGTTTGAACTTGCTAAATCATGCCCAGTTCAGAGATCTGGCTTAAGCCAATCTGGGAGCCTGGTTTGGGGGATTTGAGTCTTAGAACCCTGGTCTAGCTGCCAGTAGCTTCTCCCAGTGGACAAGGGTCCATCAGCCCAGGAGAATCAAGGTGTGGATCAGAGATACATGAGGGAGAATAGGAGACTTGGCTCTTGCTTTAAACACTTGACCAGATGGGAGAGGTTCTCTTCATTTTTCTCAGAAACACAGTAACCTAACAAAAAGAAATCCTGCCTGGTCCTCCTGGCTACATATCGTCCACACAAGATAATTTTGGCATCCACAACTTTAGTAGCACACGCACACCGTGACAAAGGATGCCAAGCTCTTATCCCTCCACCTTCAAGTGCTTGGGTTCTCAGCTCCATCCCACAGCTGTGAACAAGTGATACCCTGAGGGTTGTCCTCAGAAAAGTACCCGACTACTGTTTTCCATCTCTCCTCTGCCCCTTGACCCCACTGAACCTTCAGGTTGACCTGCCCACCCTCACACATAAGGCAAGCAGTTTGTCTCCATCTCTCCCCTTTCCCAAAGGACTTTCCCACAGGAGCAGGCATCCCACTGCTCAGCTCTCCTCTTCACTCTTCATGGGGGCCAGTGCCCTCTGTTCAGCGTGGTGGGGTCCAGTCTCTGTGGTCTCCCCAACCTCTGAGCAGGGGGCAGTTCCTTCCCGCGCGTGGATCTTCTGGTGCCTCCTCAGGTACTTCTTCAGCCGGTAGCGCTTCCCACAGACCCCACACTTGTAGGCTCCCCCTCGGGAGTGGAGCAGCTGGTGTTTGATCAGGAGGCGTTTATGCGGGAAGCACTTCCCGCACTTGGTGCACTTGCAAGGCCCCATGCGGACGTGGATCGACTGGTGGCGGAAGAGGTTGGCCTTCTGGTTGAAGGTCTTCTCGCACTCTGGGCACTGGTAGGGCTCCTCCTTGGTGTGGATCCTCTGGTGCCGGATCAGGTTGGATCGCTGGGTGAAGCTCTTCCCGCACTCGGGGCACTTGAAGGGCTCGCTCAGGTGGGCGCGCTGGTGCCGGACCAGCTTGCGGCTCATGCGGAAGCTCTCCCCGCACTCCCCGCACTTGTAGGGCCCCTCGCTCGTGTGGATCTTCCTGTGCCTGGTCAGGTTCGACTTCTGGTTGAAACTCTTTCCGCACTCGGGGCAGGGAAACATCCGCTCACCCTTGGGAGCTCCTTTTGCTGAGGGATCTCCCTTGGACGTGGATTTCTCCTGGTTCTCCAGCATCCCCTCTTTGGTGGACTGGCAGCGTTTCTTCTGCTTCCTCTTTGGGCTCTCCTGGTTGGCCTCCACACCAGGTTCCTCTTTAATCTGGATCCTTTGGATAGCACTGAGGTTTGGCTTCTGTCCATAATGCATCCCAAAGTCAATGCTTTCCTCTGGTTCTTCCTTCACATGGAGCACATGGTTACTGGTTATAGCGACTTCCTGTTCGTGGTGCCCATCAGCATCTTCTTCCTTTTTAGGCTGTCTCCCCTGTAAAGCCAGCAGTGGGATCTTTGGATCAAAGAGCTTTCCATAGTCCAGGTTTTCTGGTGACTCTTCCTTGATGTAAAGTTTCTGGCAGGCTACTGCAGTAGTGCTTGCTGTGTCATCAGTGGGTGGCTCTGGCTCCTCCTTCACCTGGATTTTCCAAGGAGGGTTTTTTGGATTAGATGGGTTTCTAGGTATGCTACACCCCTGGGCTACATCTCCTTCACGAGCCATATTCTCCAACACACTCTCCTCTGACCTGAGGGCAAACTCAGGCTCCTCTTTAACCTGGATGACCCGGAGAGACACGCTGTTGATGTGCCCCTTTTGCTTAGCATGATTCCTTTGGTGGACATCGAAATACCTCTTGGTGCTCAAGCTCTTCCCACACTCCGTGCAGATGAAGGGTCCCCCCCGGAGGTGGATCTTCTGGTGAGCCACCAGCGTGGCCCTTTGCCCAAAGCACCTGCTGCACTCGGGGCATTTGAAGGGCTTCTCCCTCTTGTGGGTCTCCCTGTGGGTGGTGAGGGTGCCCTTCTTCACAAAGCTCTTCCCGCACTCCGTGCAGGCGAATGGCCTCCTCTCCCTGTGGGTGCGCATGTGGATGTTGAAGTAGATCCTGGTGCTCAGGCTCTTCCCGCAGCGGGCGCAGGGGAAGGGGCCCCCCATGGCGTGTGTCCTCTGGTGGGCAGCCAGGCACATCTCCAGATGGAAGCAGCGCCCACACTCCCCACAGCAGAAGGGTCTCTCTCCCGTGTGGATGCTCTGGTGGGTGGTGAGGTGGCCCCGGGTGCTGAAGCGCCTCCCGCACTCCCCACAGGTGAACAGCTCCTCGGCCGTGTGGATCCGCTGGTGTCTCCTCAGGTTTCCCTTCTTGCTGAAGGATTTCCCACACTCCTGACACGGGTGGGTCTTCGGCACCCTGTGCTTAAAAATGTCCTTCATGGCAGCAGTGCCCCACTACCCTGCACCTCGTGGGGCTGCTAAGGGGTACAGTAGAGCCACAGAGTCATGGGGATGGACTGTCTGTGGGGATACAAAAGCCATCAGGACACACATATCAAAGTGTATTTGAACGGATGCACTTTATTCCCTGTAGGAAACAGGTGTATGCCATGCTGTATGCCAGCTCTGGGCCAACATGGACTGTGTGGTATTCCTCATTCCTCATCCTTGTAACTCCATCTCCTGCCTCCTCTCATCTGGACAGGCTTCTCTGGCATTCCTGGAAAGGCTTCTCTGGTATTCCTGGAGACTCGAATTGCCAGACTGAAAAAATAAAGGGGAAATAATTAGGTTATTATTTCTTCCCCACCTCCTGTGTTCACTGTGTCAACACAACGGCTGACACCTTGGTGGCTGCAGGAAAGGCTGAACCTGAGATCTGTGAAGCCACAGGCCCAGCTGAACACAAGCAGAGAGGAACAGGATGATTTCCCTGGCAATGGGGGATCTGTGATGCACTGAGTGCTGTAATGACATGGAGGTTTCAGCTCTTCTATTGCTGCACTAGTGATTTACTCTTAGAACAGACCTCTGTCCTTTGACCAAGGAGAAATGTAAGTTAGTAAGTTAATTAAGTAATGGACTTTGCATTTCAATTAGACTCATTTTTGGGGAGTGACTCTGCAGCAACTTAAATCCCTTGAACTTAGAAGAAAACCCAAACTTGGCATCACTTACAAAACTGGGGTGTCCCACTTTGGGCTGGCAGATCTCCATGCACAGGGGAGGACAAGTCAGTGATGTCCTGAGTGGGCAGCTGGAGAAGGAAGACATGGAAAGCTAAAAGGCCTTTGTTCTCTTCAAGAGGGTTCAACCGGCAGAAGGGTCTTGATCCTAAGTATTTCCATTAGAAAAAATAAATAAATCAGGGCCAAGAGAGATGTGAGCAACATGTCCTATCAGGAGTGTGAATTGCAGTAGGGAGAGGAGCCAGAAAGGCTGAGGGGAGGAAGGCAGCGGTGCTGGAGATGCCTGTCAACAACAGCACGTGTGGCTGGGCAGGATTTCACTGATGGTACTGATGGCTGAGGGTGAGGCTGCCAAAATCTCCAGTTATGGGGCAGGAGGCCAGCAAGGAAACATGCTGCCAATGTCACCTCATCCCTGGAGGTCTGGGATGCCGTGGCTGAGAAGGTGAGTCGCTGGGGAGCTTGTCACTGAAGTGCAGGGGTGGGGAGGGGGGATGCCATGGGTCAGGGGACAAGTGGTGGGACATGTGGAGTATAAACATCCAGGCACAACTGTGGTGCAGAGTTTGTAGCTACGTGATCCTCAGAAGAGAGGGGTCAGAGCGGTAAATGAAGAGCTCAATTATAATTGGGAAAATTACTTCAGATTTAGTCACGTTTCCTTTCAAGCTGATCCATCTGGATCCCCACTGATGCTGATAAGAGCTATGACCAAAACACAACGTTCCTCCTGTCCGAGCTGAGTTCTCCATGACCGTACAGAGGAACCACAGGAAAACAAAATCAGTGATAATAATAATGATAATGATGATGATGATAATGATGATGATGATGATGATGATAAAACAAAAAAAATCAACTACCGGGAAAACTTATACCGAACCAGGAGAGACAAAACACACCCACTTGGGGCAGGAGCAGGAACTGGGTTTAGCATTCGCTGTTGGAGGGGAGGGGCCAAGACTTCTCCATAGAGGGGGGAAGCAGCTGTGTGACACTACAACAGGTTTTATTTTAACGCAGACAAAGCCTCAGCAGCAGCCAGGCTGGAAAGAGGACTCAGAAAAGTTCAGCATTGTATTTTTATTAAGGGAGGTCAGTAACCCCCTGAGTGGGTAGTGGATTGAGCCTCCTGGCACCAAGGACCCTCCCGGGGGGACACGGTCGGCCGCAGATGCCGGTGGCTCATTGCGGTGTCCGCGGCCTCTCCCCTCGCCATGGATGCTCTCGTCCGTCCCTTGCAGGCACCTCTCACCACCAGCAGCGTTTCAGTTGCCAGGATTTTTCTCAAAACCCAACAAATCCTCAAAAAAAGGATAAAAGAAGAACCTCCTGCCTACTTTCTCCCTTTCACTTCCCCCCCCTCCTCCCCCCCCCCCGCCCCCAAGTCTGCAGATCCTACGGATCCAAATCCTCTCTTCACTTCCAGCTCCGCAAGCCCCGGGGCTCAGGGTTTGAATCGAGGGCAGAATCAGATGCCAGGCAGTTGCTTCGTCTTTCCTTTGAGCTACAGGGACGAACGAACGCCTTCTTACCTGAGCGGTGCCTCAGGTTCGGGCGGGCATCTCCCTCCTCCGGGGCATCCTCGGCGGCACAACCGTGTGACTGGACTGGAAGTTGTGTCGCGGCCAGAGCCGGGCTGACCTAAAGGAAGTCTGTGGCCAGAGCAGAGAGAGCTACCGGAGGAAGGGTGAAGCCAACCAAAGCCGAAGAGGAAAGGTTGGCGGAGCAGGGGGGGACAGGGAAGACGCTCTGGGCTCGGAACGCCCGGAGGGATTTCCACGCCACCGTCAAGGTGTTGGCGGGAGCGCTGGGAGGGAGCAGAGGGGAATTTCTCCCTGATGAGTCTTTCTTCTGCACCGTTATGTTGGTGGGAAGCTGGAAGGGTCCCCGGCTTGCGCTGCCTTCTGGGAATTGTAGTTCCCCCTCTGCATCGCTGGTCCCCATCCCGCCTTCCCTGCTTTGGCCACTGAGTCAGCATCAGGACATTTCCGTTTTACCCCAGCTGTGTGTCAGCATCAGGACATTCCCCTCTTGCCCGACCTGAGATTGTTCCTTTTTTTGTTGTTGTTGTGGGAAGGAAAACATCCTGAGGCACTGCAAGCATCCTTCTTCCCTCCCGGGCTGATTGTCTGGGACTTGCTCCAGGAAGCGTCAGGAGAGGAAAGACGCATCCCAGGGAGTATTTCTGTGTCTGTAGCAGCTTGCAATCCCCCTTGGAGGGATGGCAGCCATCGAGGCTTGTGCCCATTTACCAGCAAAGGATCCCTTTAATGCTCAGTGACAGCACAGGAGTGAGTGGATTTGACAAGGGGGGACGCTGAGGTACGTGGAGTGGATTTAGCAGAGGGATGAGCATGGCCTGGGAGAGGCTGAGACTCAGCAGGACCTCATGGGAAGCACCCAAACCTTCCTGAATCTGCACTGCACAATGAGGCTTGAAGGATCAGCAGGAAGCTCTAGCCCAGGATGCCTCCCTGTGAGGGTTTTAGGAGCATGGGAATGACAAAAAGCTGTTTAGCATGGGAATGACAAAAAGCTCTTTAGCATGAGAATGACAAAAAGCTGTTTAGCATGACTCTTCCCTGGAGCAGTCACTAGATGCTGTCTATGTCTCTGAGGCTGGACAATAACACTCATTCCTGCATGCACCAGCTCCTCCAATCCTGTCCTAAATATGGCACAAGGCTGCAAAGATGCTGTTCTCCCCCTCTCTGACTCAGGGAAACTGATGCAGGAGATGGTGAGGTATCTGGCTTGGATCACACAGGGAAATTTAAAGTTACAGGGTCCCTGGAGTTCAGATTTACTCTACACTCTGTACATGCCTGGGCTAAAAGTCTGCTAATGTATTTCCTACCCCAGTACAAACCACCAGGATGAGGCAGCGGCACCAGTTTGAAGGTGCACCTACATTCCAGCTTGTATCCCAGATCAGAGAGGAAAGAAGTCATAAAAATTCAACCACCTTTACACCAGTTCATGCACAGAGAAGATACACAAGCCTCATTCAGTTTGCCTTACTGAAGCTGTCAGCTTTGAGGCACAAGTGCCACAGCAGGTCCCTGACAGACAGGAGAGACCACAGTGTAGGGCCACAGTAGATCCCAAGTCATGTTCAGGACTCCTTAGGCAACATGCCCCACTTTCCATCCTTCCTATTTCCATAATATCTTCCCACAAATCCTGCTCAGTTCCAGTCAGCAGCCCCATCAACCAGCTCATCTGGATGTGTGGCTCCATGGAGGGTGAGAGGTTGGGGCAGGGCATGGATGAGGGGCTGACATGGAGCAACTGAGAGGGGAATGTTTGTGTGACTCCTCTGCTGCTGAAAGTTCTGGAGGAGGGGCCAGGATCCTGCCATTCCATCTGTGTCAATGTCCATTCATCCACTGGGGCACAGTTTACCTTGCTCCAAAGTGGATACCTCCACCGGGGCATTTGACTTGTGCCCTCAGGGTTCCTGTTTCTCTCCATTGACATCTGCATTTTCCAAGCTCATCCTCTCCTTCAAACAAACCACATCTGCCTGATGTCCCCTCAGGCCCATGCCAAGTCCAAAATCCAAGAAAAGTGAGATAAAATATTCCATTATATCATCCCAAGGTTTTGCTCCTGCGGTCAAAGTAGACTCAGAACACCTTATGTTCATCCCCAAAAGGGCTTCATGGGCAAAGTTTCAGGGCAGAGGTAGGCTGTGTCTAAAACTGGGTCTTCCTAAGCCCAGTTTGGAATTGGTGGCCCCCCAAGCCTGAACAGTCTCTGCTATCCCAGGGAAACCCACTCTGGAAGTGCAGCTGTGCCATCAGCTGCCTCTACAATGCACCACTAGATGCCAGTGAAAGCTCTTCCTGGTTCTCCTGCTTAGAAAACCTCACACTTTGGGCAATTTGCTTTGTTATATTGTGGGGGTTTTGTGTTTGGTTTTTTTTTGTTTGTTTGTTTTTGTTTTTTTTTAAGGTAGTCCCTTTTGATTCACTTTTGATCTAATAAAGTCTCCTTCTCCTTACAATTAGGCAATATGTATAAATATGTGTGATTGTGTTTTGTTCACATCCTCTCTCTGTTTCTCCACTTCTCTCTCTGTTTGTCAAAGATATATTATCTATTTGCTATTATTTAAATGAGAACTGTTTCCCAGTGTCTCCCCAGACCAGGATCTCATCCCCAACCTCCTTTCCTCATCCTGCTTCCTATTAAACACTCCAATCTTCAAACCTGCCAAATCCCCAACCCACCTCATCATGACCTGATGTCCTGACATGGACAGTCATTCCAAGAAACATCCAGGTGTTGGCATGGCATATCCAAGCCCTCTCCTCCTTTGGGAGATGATTCTTCATATCGGGTCACCAAAAGGCAAGATGCAGGTCCAGTTTATCCAGCTCTGGGAATAATAGCCTGGAGGAACAGACCTGCACAGAGCTGGGAAGGGTATCAAGGAACAGAAGCAATTTAGTGCAGTAGTGCCTATAACCAGCTCGCAGATGTTTGGTGTTTAGTGGGAAGGTGAAATGAATGAAACTAGAAAAGAAACCCTACATGGGGAAAGGATAAAAATTAAACAAATCTCACAGCCCTGTGCAGCATTAATCTCTGTACTGCATTTCCCTGGTGTAGAGATCGGTATAGGACTGAAATGATCTCACCTTCTGTCTTACAGTGCCTGGAGTTCTGCACTTTGCCAAAAATAATCTGTCCCATGTTACCCTCTCACATTTTTGTAGGGTCTAAGCCTTTGAGCAGCCTCCAGGCTTTGCACACACTATTATTTTCACCTGGCTGGGCAAGCTCCAAGTTGCTTGGACTGTCTCTTGGGCACTCAGAGTAAGCACAAAGCTCAGCAGCTACCCAGACTTCAGAAGGAGTGCGTGTTTGTGCCCTCCCTGTGCTGGGCACAGCCACCCTCTCATGGCAGAGGACACCCAGGGTCAGGAACACCTTCCCCTTTGGGCAGGTTGTGTGTTGGTGCAGATTTCTCCTCCAGCACCCGGTGCACCTCTCAACTCTCCTGAGCGCCTGATGCTGGCTGCCATTGGAGACAAGATGTTAGACTTGATGGGGTAAAGATCTGATCCAGATTGGCAGTCTGTGTTGCTTTTTTAGACAAACCCAACTCTGTGTTTGACCGGCCAACTGCATCCGATGGGGCTGCAGAGGAGAAGTGAGAACTAAATTTAAGCCAAGCTGTCACATGCTCCAGTGCCTGATTAATTATTCAGTGAAATAAAAATGGAATTAGGCAAAATAAAGGAGAATGGGTAAATGAAATCTTCACTCTGCTTTAGCAGGAAATATTGATGCGGGTTTTATTAAAGATGCCATAGTCAATCATGTCAGGAGGCTTGAGGGTAAGAGGTGGGTTGTTGTGCTGGGCACATACAATGCAGGAGGGATGGACAATTCATTGTGGAGAGATAAGGCAGCAGGGAGCCCAGTTATTTGTTCAGGTGAGTCCATGATTGTTCCTGAGATTTGCAAACACGATAGGTGCCAGCTGAGGCTGAGGGAGCCCCTCACTGCCTTGTTACACTACAGATTGTTTTTATTAATTTAGGAAACAGCTCTCACAGCAAGGCAAATGTGATACAAGAGAATAAAGTGTTCAAAATGACAACTAATTTTCTATGCTATTCCAGACTCCCCGCTTTTCTTTAATTGCTTTCGAGCTTCTGATTAGCAAGGAAAGCTTTTCTTTTTTTGGCCCACATCTCCTACAGCTTCATTGTGCAGCCCAAGGCCACGGTTTCCCCTCCTGCTGCCATGAAAACAACTGCAGTGTCTGTGGCTCCTTCCACATCCACCACATTCATCTGATAAGAGCTTGAAATGAAAAAGTGGTTTAAGCACAAATGGCCTCAGCACTGATTTCAGCCTGGACAGATCAGAATGACCCATCTGCCTTCCTGTCCTACCAGCAAAGGGCTTTTTGTTCCTGAAGGGTCAGTTGCTTGGGTTTATTTTCCTGGGGAGAGCTGCAGTCAGAGCTGGTGATTCCCTCCCTCTCTGTCAGGAGGAAAAAGGAAGGATTATGACTGTGATGTCCCCAAATCAGAAAGCCCTCCCTGCCCTATTCACCCTGCCTCGAGTGCTGTCACCATTGTGACAGGGATCAAACATCTCCAAGTCTTACAAGTGTTGAGCAGGGAACTGGGATGTTACAAGGACTGTGGTACCTGTCCCTGCACCCATCACCCTTTCATCTCCTGAGTCCTGCTCTCTTCGCTCTGGCTGCAACTTTCTTTCCCAAAACAACAATCCTACTATAAGACAACATAAAAAAACCCCAAAAGCCAATTGGTAATGCCTAAATGACACACCCAAGGTTGAACAGCACATCAGCAGCAGAGCAACCTCTTAGAAGCTGGTGTGAGGCAGCACAGCTCTGCTGTGTAACAGCAGCTTTCCCAGTACCTTTCTAACACAACAGCTGCTGGCCAATGCTCTTGCTCTCCTGGCTTCATCCTTCCTCCTCAACAAACCCTGTAGGTCCTCCCTGCCAACGATCACGTGCAATGAAGTTGTAGCTGCTCAAGTAGTAAGTGCTACTTGTATTCTGACGTGTTTCAGTCCCCACATCCCACTGAGAGGGAACCAAAGAGGTATCCCTGGGACTGGGAAGCATCTTCCAAATCCAGATTATAAAAGTGGGGTCTGGTCGTGAGCCTGGCCTGTGCTGGTGGCTCAGTTTCCATGCCTGGAGGGAACTGGCATTTCCAAGAAGGGGAAGCCTTTGCTTTCAAATCCCTGCAGCAAAGACAGGCTCCCCGGTAGTGAGAGAAGCTTATATTCAGTGGAGGAATTTCAGGGTCATGAATCATCTGCTCTAATTT